CATTTCAGGAACATATAAAAGTAATATCGAAATTAGAAAACGAGCCATTAAAAGTCAAGGTAGCTGTAAAATTGGGCATAAATGCACGAGCCAAATCATTTTAAACCAGACTTCTACTGGCCAATATCGTGCACAATATTACAAGACCCATTATGGACATACAATTGAAGTTCAGCATATACATCTCTCTAACTAAAGGCCGTTTTACAGCTTGCAATTCTTTCTGCAATATGCAAGAAACTTAAAGGAGGGCATGCGCAGAAGTGCGTCAGCTGATTGGTTTCTGCAAGATTCTTGAAACTTGAATGGCATTGCATGCAATCGGTTTGGTGCCATTTTTCTTGAAGATTTTCGTGCAAGCTGGGGAATTTTTAGTAATTATGATGCTTAAAGTTGCTGCTATTGCTTTCTTCTTTTTATATCGACTTATAATCACTGTTTTTATTTTTGGCAAATGCAAACATCAACAACATAACATTAAAAACAAAAAAGTATGGTTAAGGTTAGAGAAAGAAACAAGTCAAATTGCAAGGTGTAAAACGACGTGCAAGAAATCTTGAATGCAATTTTTTTGCATGCAAAAAATTGCATTCAAGTTTTCTTGCAAGCTGTAAAACGGCCTTAAAGAAACATGAATTAATATTGCAACAAAACTTGCAAGTGGTGTTTCAGTGAGTAGGTGAGTCTTAATTTTTTTCAAAAACATTTAGTCAGGGTATTTTGTTTATCTCTATATACTTAATTATTATTATGTTTAGGGTGTTAGATTCATTTAGAGATAATTTTGAAGAAGATAAGTTATCCCGCTGTGATCTAACTACAAGAAAAGATATAAATAATATTACAAATTCATACCATGTCAATATACAGGATGGTATTCGGCATGAGAATGATTTCATAAGTGTCGATCTTTCAGTAAAGCAATACCAAGAAGTTGGAAATGAAATATTGCTATATAAAAGGCAGGGAGATGAATTTCCTCAATAAGATATTAAAGATTTTTGTATAATTTTTATGAATAAGGCACAAGAGAATATTTTAACTAAATTTGGAAGTAATACAGGGTGTCCCACGGTGGATGGCGTATTAGACGTTTATGAAGAACTAAAAAGCAGATCATTTTGAAAATTTGGCAACCGGGATAAACGACCATAATCTACACTTTAAAAATATTTTTGTTTATGCGGTGTTGCCGCTTCCACTCTAAACTAGTGGCAACATCGCTATTTTAAATAAAACACCCTGTATGTGATTGCATATCTCGATTCTACGTAAAATTCTGAGCAGATTTCATGTTATATACCCTATACCTAAGTTCAACTGTTTTGGAAATAATGACAGTTCAAAATTGACTTTTTGCAACTTTGACAGGCTGTAAAACCTGAACGGTTAATTTTAGAGGAAAACCGATTTTACATTCCTATCTTAGATTTTTATAAACTATAATTTGACACCAACTTTGAATTTAATCCATGATTAAAAATTCCAATTAAATTTAATCTCCGGTTAAATTCAGAGTTGGTGTCAAATGATAGTTTATGAAAATCTAAGATAGGAATGTTAAATCGGTGTTCCTCTAAAATTAACCGTTTAGATTTTACAACCTGTCAAAGTTGCAAAAACTCAATTTTCAACTGTCAATATTTCCGAAATAGTTGAACTTAGGTATAGGGTATATCACATGAAATCTTTTCAGAATTTTACGTGGAATCCAAATATGCAATCACATACAGGGTGTTCCATTTAAAATAGCGATGTTGCCACTGATTAAGAGTAGAAGCGGCAACACCGCATAAACAAAAATATTTTTAAAGTGTAGATTATGGGTCGTTTATCCCGGTTGCCAAATTTTCAAAATGATCCGCTTTCTAGTTCTCCATAAACGTCTAATACGCCATCCACCGTGGGACACCCTGTACATATAATTGCTATAGATGGTACCCATGGATTGAACATGTACGATTTCGAGTTAACTACAATGATGGTTCTTGACGAATTTGGTGAAGGGTTCCCGGTATCATGCATGTTCAGCAATAGAAAAGACACTATTATATATGAAATGTTTTTTGAGCATATTAAAACAAGGTCTGGGCTTATACATCCTAGGGTATTTATGTCAGATATCACTAATGTGTATTATAATGCTTGGCTCAATATTATGGGCGGTGGTGAAGCGTTGAAGCGATTATATTGCTCTTGGCATATTGACAGAGCTTGGAAAAATAATTTGAATAAAATAACCAGTATAGATAGAAGAAAACAAGTTTACCAGACACTTAAAGTATTACAAACAAATTTAAATGAAATGGAGTTTGAAAGGAATCTCACTGCTGTTGTGAAAAGTCTACTAGAAGATCCCGACACAAAAAATTTTGGATCCTATTTTGCAAACAATTACATTAATAATTGTCATACATGGGCTTACTATTACAGAAAAAATTGTGGTATCAATACAAATATGGCAATGGTTTATTTTAGTTAATGTTTGGCTATACAGGGTGTTTGGCGGAGGGTTAACCAAACTTGGGCATATAGATAGGTCCATTTTGAAAATATTTTATAATACACTTGTGCCCTTAAGGTCCCCGTTTTTTTTATATCATTGCTTTTGTATTATTCTCAAGAACTTTCAAAAATGGACCTTTTGACTTCTGTAACTTTTTTTTTTTAATGTTTAGAAAAATGCTAATTATTTCGGTAGTATTTGTGCCTAATTATTACTTTATTAGATTGAGGATACCTCTCGTGATACCCTACAGACCAAAAACACACGAAACAAACATTTTCATAAACATTTAAAAAAAAGTAACTAAGCACAAGTGTATTAATAAAATATCTTCAAAATGGGCCTATCTATACGCTCATCAAGTTTGGTTAACCCTCCGCCAAACACCCTGTATATACTTAAGGGCTGGTTTCTCAATAGTCACCTCCAGGTTAGTTTTAACTCCAGAGTACATATGTCCAGTTCCTATGTTTACCCTTAAGTTATGCCTAACCCAGGGGTGACTCGCTGTTGAGAAACCGGCCCTAATTAGTTTATTTTAAATGAAAATACAAATTATGACTAATTCTAGGTTCTGGAGTCTATGCACAAGACTGTGAAATATTTTTACCTTGGTGGAAAATTTGTAAAACGTTTAGACAAAGGCATAACAGCAGTATTAAAATATATTCGAGACAAAATAGTATCAAAAATTATTAAAATTACAAAAGGAGTAAATAATTGTCATATTCAGGATACTCATAAACGACATCGAGCTGCTGTAACAAGTTGTTTTAAAATTGTTACAAGCTTACACAGCAGGTACAACGCAGGTTATTTAATAAACACTATATTACTTTTAAATGAACTTTATTATTTTATTATGGTTTATTTATTATCAATCCAGCACCCTCCAGCCTGTGTGTGTTGGAGTGCGTCCTGCTCGGCATCAGCTGTCCTGTGTCAGTGACGTAACCACTGATGATCCCACATTCAAAACACACAGGACCAGCTTTATGTTACAAAAATAATCGTAGGTATGTGAAAAAAACATTTGGATAGTCAAATCGAAAGATATTGAATACATAGTTTCAAAGAGGGATGAAAATTTATGTAGAATATTAAATTGCCAACTAAAGTGTTCGTTTTGCAATATTTGCATTCATGAATATGAGTGCACATGTGCAGATTATTATATTAGAGCTAGTATATGTTAGCACATACATTACCTCAGACTAAACCTGCTAAGCACTAATATTAAAAACCAGGAAAGTTTACCTGCACAGCCTTTAACAGAAACAAATCCTGAAATTTCTGAAAGTTTAGAAGTTCTAGCTGCTACCAGCAATAAAACGAAAAGTAGTTTGAAAGAAAAGATAAAAGATGAGATTAATATAATTAATAGTAAAATAGATTTATATGAAGATGCCGAGGAAGATCCAGACTCACTGCAAGCTCTTTCACATGTTTTAAAAACCATGAAAAATGCTAGCAGTTTATTATCAACAAAAGGTGTAAAGCAAACTTCTATAAAAACGGAGTTTAAAATTAAATCAGGTACTTTTAAATCAAACACATAATTTTGAATATTATAAATATTTTTGGAATTTTTTTTTAGGCAAACCCTCTAATAAAAAAATTAGGAAACAAGTGACATTTTACTCTACGAAAAAGCCATCAAAGAAAAAACTTAATAATGATATTTCAAAACCATCTAGAAGTGAAGCAGCCATTATAAGCAAATCCTCAAATTTAAGTATGGAGCATGATTACTGTTAATGTAATACTAATATACATTATATTCCTACTGCAATGTGATAATTTAATCTTTATTTAAACTATGCTAACAAAATTTATCTGAACATTAATTACCTTATTGGACTAGGTTTTTAATTTATTTCTTTACAAAAATTTAATCCCCTGGGACTTCTGGCATATATACCTATAGAGATTTAATAATACAAGAGTATACATATAATTTTGTAGGTTTATTTTGTTTTTAATAGTAGATTATACCACGAGTCAATAATGATAGCTATTATTCCCGAGGAATATCAGTGAGTTACATTCCGAGGGAATAATAGCCATTATTGCGAGTAGTATACTCTACTTTATTTACGACACATTAATTTATTTGAGATTTTCAATGAACAAATTTCATCCGTCTCATAATTTTCAATACAAATCCACCAGCACTACACGTTTGACATTGACACTTTTGTGGAATAATGACCATTAATCCCGCTACTCGTCATTAATCCCTGGAGGAATAACATATGTCATTATACTGCCAAAATCACAAATTTAATACGCACATTATACATTAGTCGTAAATAAAATAAAATTATTACATTCAAATATTCCCTCCTTTATAATACATGCACGAAGGAATACGAATACAGCATATTTGGCAACGTCGCGGTACGGAAGTACTCGGCTAGCCGCTCCTAACAACCTTGCTTGAACAAAGCTAGTTTTTTGAGGTTAGTTTTTGTTAAATTCTAGTGTTTTGTGTGTGCCTTGTGGCGTGGCGTTTTCGTAATTTATTTATAAAAGAAACTATGCATGAAAAGAATAATAATATTCTGTAAAAAAATTAAAAATATCCAAAAACAATGCCTGGAGCCAAATGCAAATTTGCTTTAAACGGACAAAACAATGGCCTATTGATTAACAGAGGTATGTTTTTTGTTTTTGTTTTTCAGAAAAACTTTTCAAATAATCACCTCTATTGTATTATGAATCAATTGATTATATTCACTAGTGTCGTGCTTTGCTTTATAATCGTCTTATTACGACATACCTATTATTAACCATAGCCTTTATTCATAAGTAATTTTTAGTTATTTGTTCATGAAATTGTGAATTCCTATCTTCAACAAATTTCCCTAATTGACCGGTGCAATTTTAATATGTTTCAGTAACAATGACCGACTCGAAGTATTTCACTACCACCAACAAGGGAGAGATTTTTGAGTTGAAATCTGAATTAAACAATGATAAAAAGGAGAAAAAGAAGGAGGCAGTTAAGAAGGTATAATAGTTATTTATATTACTAGTACAGTATGAGCTTCATTACAGCAACGAGTTGGTAGATCGAGTCATGGTAACCACAAGTGTTGTAATGAGCTTTACCGTACGTGTAATATACAACATTTTAACTACAACCTGCACAATAAGTGACTTTTGTCGTTTGTCTATTATAATTAACTATTATGTACTAGATTGTTTAGTTATATTAAAAATAATGACCTTTTACCGCACTACTGCGATAATGATTAATTTCTGCACTAGTGCGGTAATAGGGCTCATTACATAACGCAAATAAGCAAAAATTAGTGACATAATCCAGGACATAATAGTCACTTATTGTGCAGGTCGTAGATGTTGTGTATTGAAACACACTTACTGAGCTTTAATTCACTTTATTAGCCAACACAAAATGATTATAATTTTTGTCACTGACCGACTGCTATTAACATATATGACAATGACAATCTATAACAATTAAAATAGGTATTTTTATAAACTGGTAAAACACAACAGTAGATAAATAAATTATTGTAACTAATTCACTTCCGAGAGAGAGGAGAGCCTTTTCCAAATAATTTTTAGTCCAAAGCTGTTGGAAACAAATAGGATATTTTCTGTATTATTGGCCAATTGGAGTATTTTCACTTCTTGGGGTGAGGAGTGGATAGATCTGAAAAAGAAAATTTAACTCTTTTCATATAAAATGCAAAAGACAAAATAAAGGTGGAGAGCCCTTTCATGCCTTGCATTTTGGTGTCTTTGGGGACCTATGATTATTTAGCACCAATGTTATGTTAGCACCCAAATGCCTTTTTTGAAAGAGTTCTATAGTTCTCTAAAGTGTGCAGTTATAGTTCTGCAGTAGATATTTTTTTAAAAAGCATCAATAGGGGTGCTAACTTCATGCCACACCATCAATTCACTTCAACACACATTATGCCACTTGTATATTGGGAAAATATCCTACGAAGCCACACATGTTTTACTCTGAAATGATAGCCATAAGCTTTGTTCCAGCTGAGATGAAAACGGTTCTAAAACCCGTAATTTCCAGTTGCCCACCTATTTTTCAATAAGTTTGAACGCTTACTCTAATTGACAAATGAATTGATCGAATGGAAATTACCATTCTAGAACGGTTCTCATATTGGTTGGAACAGAGCTTATATTGTTTATAGTATCTTTTTATTTGTTTTTACTGTTTTTAGCTTTCCCACCATTGTTTCTATGTCAGTCATAATTATATGAATGATGTGGGTGGCCCCATATATGGTGGCCCCCCAGATAATTTTCATGAACTTGGATATGAAGAGGGCTACGTCAGTCAAATATGCCCAACGATTTTTTTCTATTGTTCCTATATTATACCTATCTTAATAGATTTGCATATTTTTATATATTTTTAGCAAAAAATAGTTACAATAATAGTTAATACAATAAAAATAACATGGCAGGGTTGGAACAAACCCGGGTTTTTTTGAAAAAGTCCAACTCATTGGTTTTTTTCAGGCTTCTCGGGAGGTTTCGTTTTTTTCTTCGAAATTTGATTTATAGTTTCTGCTCTAGCAAAAGTATTAAAAAAACTATGACTTTTGTTGCAAAAATAAAATATCCTTACAAAATAGAGCAAGCCACTTGATATAGATAATTACACTGGGCATCAGTGCACTGCACCGCGCCTTTGGCTGGCCAGCCCAGAGACTCCGTGTCATGTAGAATTCTACATATCGACAGGATTCTATAGGCTCGGCACATTCCATAATTGTCGAATTCACATGGTACAGAAGTCTCTGCCCAGGCCTCCACGCCAACAGCCAGGGATAGGGGAATCCCCGATATTTTCAGTGAAAATGTCGCTCTTTCAACTGAAAATTTGCTATTTTTAAAAAACCCAAAAAAACCCCACTGGGTTTTATATAAATAACATAAATGAGGTCAGATAATAAAGAAAAATACCTATGAGGGACCATGAAGTAGCAGTCCCAAATAATAAAGCAAGAGAGATAATCTTATATAATGTACTAGAGATGTGACCGAAGCCGAATAATTATTCGAATTAACCGAATATTTCATGTTTCGATATTTTACTGAATTTTTCAACATAGGTATTATTTTAATTAAATTAAATTCGAACAAAAAAAAATCAAATCAAATCAAATCAAAATATGCTTTATTGTTTTAAACAAAGTAATGTTGTAACTTATATGACTTAGTTTACGTAGTCTAAATATATATGAATCATTAAATTACATAATTATAAAATTGAAACACAAACAGTAAACAGTTAATAAAATAATATAAAACCTTACATTTAAAAATAAAGCAGTACATTTACAATTTAACGTCATAGTAAAAAAAAACACACAGCACACAGAACAGTAAAAAGTATCCATAAGCACACCTTTTTTTGCTTAAATCATGGTTAAAATCTTTCATTGAAGTATTCTTGTATATCATAATAGGCCCTCGCAACGAGCAACTTTTTTTACCTCCCTCCTAAATCTCCTTTCCTCATAAATCTCTCTAATACTGACAGGCAAATGGTTGAAGAGTTGACGTCCATTAAAAACAATAGAGTCATGTACTTGGGAGGTTCTGGGAACAGGTAACAACATTTTATACGTTTGCCTGGTGGCATAAGATGACGAACCTTGTTGGTTCAATGTGTTTCTATACTTTTTATGAATTAGAGATACTGTTTCAAGAATAAACAAAGATGGTAATGTTAAAATATTGTTAGCAACAAAAAGCGGTTTGCATGAATCTCTCAAATTGGCCCTGTTCATGTATCTGATTGCTCTTTTTTTGCAAAATGAATACTGTATGCATTAGCTGTTTAGCACAAGAACCCCAAAAACATATTCCATAACGTAGATGGGATTCTATTAATGCAAAATATGCTTGTCTCGTAATATTTTCGTCTAATTCACCTGAAATTATTTTTAAAGCATAACAATTTGATGCCAATTTTTTATTTAGGTTTGCAATGTGGCATTCAAACTTCAATCTACCATCTATATGCAAACCTAAGAACTTACTTTGGGGTGTGCCACTTAATATCTGATTTTCCAAATAAACTGGTCCCAGGTTACATTTGAAAGAAATAATATTAGTTTTGGAAATATTTAGACACAGCTTATTTGAATCACACCAGTTCTTTATTAAGGACAGGTCGTGGTTAATATGGTTTCAACCAAAATATGTTCATCTGTACCACTCCAGAGAATTGTTGCATCATCTGCAAACAATGTAAAGCTTCCAGAAATGTTAAGGTTTGCAATATCATTAATATAGACTAAAAAGAAAATTGGTCTCAGAACCGAACCCTGAGGCACTCCACTATTTAGAGTCTGTTGGTTTGATCTTATCCCATTATAAGATACAGACTGGACTCTATTGGTCAAATATGATTGAAACCAACTTAGTCCTTTACCCCTAAATCCATAAATCTCCAGTTTGTGACTCACACAATCGAAAGCTTTTGTCAAGTCACAAAACACTGCCGCTGCAACCTGTCGATCGTTCATCCTCATGTAAAGATCCTCCAGAAAACTGAATATAGCATCACTGGTGGATCTTTTCTCTAGGAAGCCAAATTGCACTGTGGTCAAGATATTTTTTTTCTTCAAAAAATTAAGGATTTGCCTTTTAACTATTTTTTCCACAACCTTAGATAAAGTTGGCAGCAATGCCACTGGTCTGTAGTTTGAGGGGCTTTCCTCATTTCCACCCTTGTATAATGGGACAATATTAGCGATCTTCAAACAGTGGGGAAAAATACCTGTAATAAAAGAGAGGTTCATAGCTTCTGCTAGAATCCTAAGTGCATTCTCAGGAAGTTTGTTAAATATTTTAGAGGAAATGCCGTCCCACCCAGGCGCCTTGTTACCCTTCAGCTCCAAAATTGTTTCCTTAATTTCGTGTTCATTGGTGGGTACAAAAAAGAATGTTTCAGTTATATTTACATGATTTAAAAAGTTTTCAAAATTTAAATTACTTTTTATTAAGCTTGATAAATGGTTGGCTATATTGCAATAAAACTTATTTAAATCAGTAGCGTTTCATTTGGAATCCAAACATTCCTTAAGACACTTATTATCTCCTCGAAGTTCATTTACAATTTGCCAAGCTGTCTTCTGCTTATTACAGGAAGACGCAATTCTCTTTACATAATAAGATTGCTTAGCTGCCTTTATAGTTCTACGATATATTGATCTATACTTATTGAAATAATTTACAAAAAATTCATTACACATATTGAATTTTCTTATATAGTGGAGACATCTTAAATTTTTTGCTGAAACTCTTATTCCTTTAGTAATCCAACTTTTTTTTGTTTTAAACGTTTTAAAGCAAAACTTGCATTAAAAATTTTAGTTAAAACAGAGTGGAAACCTGACAATGGATCTGCAGAGCTCAACACATCACCCCAGTTTTCCAAAGAAGCAAGTTGCGTGAACCTATCATAATTTTTTCTTGTGAACAATCTACCCCACCTTTTTGCTTTCCTTCTCTCTTTTTTATTTATTGCAAAACTACACCATCTCCTTGGTCAAAATTTGAAATTACATGATCTATTAATGTGAAAGAATGGGATGTTATACGTGTAGGTTTGTCAACATGCAGATGTAAACCGTAAGAATTAATTAGGTTGTGTAAGAAAATGGTGCTAATATCCCCCATAGACAAGGAATCCAAATTAAAGTCACCACAAACAATTATTTTTGATTTAGAAGGGAGAATGGAAATTACAGATTCGAGCCTTGCCAAAAAATCAGACGCATTGCTGGATGGTGCACGATAAATACACAAAACATAAACATTAATGCTACTACTATATACAGCACACAACTCAAATAGGCGTTCTTCTTTGTGATTTTCAAAAGTGTCAACTGTTTTAAATAAATAATGAGAATAAAAGTCCTTGTGAATCATAATACTTACACCCCCGTACCCTGCTTTTCTACAAAATATATCCAAAAGTACATAATTATCTAAGGTTAACCGTTCATATGGTTTCAACCAGTGTTCACATAATAATACTATTGTCGGGTTGCTTAAACCATCTAATAAAATATTCAACTCAGCTAACTTACTTCTAATAGACTGCATATTTATTAAAACTACGGTGAATTCGTTATTGCTCTGATTGACTCTAAAAAATTTAAATTGGAAGTCTTAGGTGTGGACCTGGTAGACGGTTGTGTTTTATTAACAACATTAAAGAATTCTTCTCTACTTATTGTGGGTACAAAGATCAAATTTTTTTCATTTTTTTCCTTCAAATTTAACTGCTATATTTTCGAATTTCTTTCCTTTTTTTGCTTTAATCAGACAGTTGAGGAGTAAAAATCTACCTTCTGATACCTGATTTACCTTCTTGGCAAAAGAATAAAATTTTTGAAAAAAACTATTAATTCTTTTGGCAATAACGAACTTGTCAGTAGCAGGGTGTCCTAAAAATATTATATTTGTTTGTGTACAAAATTTAACTCTATCCCAAATAGCCCTAATTTTTGGTATTTTACCTTGTTGAAACTCATTGGATCCAGCCAAAACAATTACACAATCAGACTTAGTAAAGTCCTTAACAAGTTGTTTCATGTTATGTATAACATCCACATAAGGGGCACCAGGTTTGATTATACACTGCACACAATAGTCTTGTTTAAGCTTCTTTTCCAGCAATCCATTTAAGCCTCTACCAGCTTCGTCACAAAGAATTAATATTTTCTTGATTTTGTCCTCCTTTCTGAGCACTTGTTCGGAGTAAGGTATGTGAGAATTATTTTCTGGTTTTGCATTAGCCTGTCCTGCATCACCATTAGAGTGTCGATTTGTTTCTAATGGTAAAATCGCATTTACAGATTTTAGTTTGCGAATTATGTCCTCTAATCTATTAATTTCACAAGAATATTGCTGATTTTCACTTTCTAAAACCTTTATAGATGTTAACATGCTTTCTGACATCTTACGAACTTCATCCATATCTGTTTCATAAGACTGTTGTTCAACGTTGTTAACAGTTTGAATACTAAGAAGTTTAAGCTGTATTTCTTTAGTCTCTTTTAAATAGGCTTGATTATCCTTTTCCAGCGTTTCTATTGTGACAACCATGTCTCTGTTAAGGGCAGTTAATTCCTTTATTTTTACTTCTAAAACCTGCTTTGCGTCCCTTGCAGATTCTAGTTCAGCATTTATTTTTTCTTTGCTGCTTTTTATTTCCTTAATTTCGTCTTCTAAGGGCCAAATTATGGACCGACTGGTAAACGTCTGGTTGTTACCTAGCAGGTACTTTCTATGCACTAGAAAATAGAAAGTACCTGCTAGGTAACAACCAGACACTTACCAGTCGGTCCATAATTTGGCCCTAATGCCGTGTTGCGTTTGTTTAATTTTTTTAGTTGTAAAACCAGTGTTTTCTCCGCATTGGAGACTTCTTCTTCGAAAACTTGACTGTTTCTATTGAGCCTTTCTAACTACTTATCCTTCTCTCGAATTTTCTTTTCAAGCGATTCTATCTTTTCCTGAAGTGTCGACAGTTCATCCTCATGTTTGTTCTCTCCATACAGCTGGGGTGAAATATACTATGCAGCAAAAATTTGTGAAATCTTTATTTCTGCAACATTTAAAAGATTTCTCCATGATGTTTTACTTTAAAAATAATGACATATAGAGTCTTACGCTAACGCTATTTAGATGTAGTGCGAAAATGCTTATGAGCGTCAAAACCATAAACACAAATTTGAATATTTATCAGCTCAGGGTTTCTTATCAGTTAATCCCATTGTTGCGAATTTTAGTGCAAATAAATATAAATAGAACACTACTATTGTTTTTGGTTAATAAGTATTAAATCTTTATACTCAGCTTGATTTCAATAACGGCACTACAAAGAGCACTTAATAACAAAAAAGAAGATACAAAACAGACATTTAAAAAGACAGTTTATGTAAGGTAAAAAGACAAAAAACTATGGAGCACAAATCGCGTTTACTTAGCCTTATGGAGGACTTGAATATAGAAACTTCTGGGCCCCTATTCTCGAAACAGGGGAGCAGTGTCCTCATGAGAACAGAGGTTCTGTCTTAGTCATTCACATTTATATTTCCATTACACTGACAATAACCGATTCCTTCTCGTACAGGTTTCCAGCTGCTGAGAATAGTCGCTCATTGTAAACGGTACTTGTGAAGGAGCTTATAAATAGATCTTCCCAAGCTGGCTCATTTTTGGATATTTTGAACAGTATTTCTTCCACACCAAGAAAATGGACAATGGTTTTTGTCTAAAATTTCACCCGCCGATAAATAAGCCTCTAACTCAATTGCAATATCGTTTTTGCGATTGGAGTGATCAAAGTCCTTATAAGTCAAGGCTATTTCACTTTCACCATAATATTTGAGGTCTGACATGCTTTAATAACTATTCGGTATTCGGTTTAAATTCAGGCGAATATCCAGTATTCGGTTATTCGGCCAAACTACTATTCGTCACATCACTATAATGTACCTTATAACATACTTAGAATTTATCAACCATTTGGTAATTTGTTTCTTAATTTTATAATATGGTTTTGTTTTAAAAATATTGGTTAAATCAGTTTAAATTTTAGAACCAACAGAATAGATATGGTTCTGCGCAGCTGTGTGTTTAGGGTTTTGCATCACAACATTATTTTGATCAGCATGTGTCTCGTGTTTATACCATGACTAATATTTGCTCTATAACAATTGCTTTACACATTAGGTACATTTGGAAATTTCTATAAGAAAAAGAAATCCCATTTTTGGCTTTGGAAATTTTTTGAAATCTTGACATTTTTATGCTCATATCTTCGATGAAATTTGGAAAACTTAGTTACAATTGAAGCTATTAGTGCATGAAGGTGTTAACTCAATTTTTAGCTGAAATCTCGAAAAATGGTATGTATGAAGGTGTTAATTCATTCTTTGCGTTAGTAAAGACTTTGGATCATAGGCTGATGTTGCCAGGTACCTTGAAAACTGAAGTTTAAATCGCGTTAACTCAAGTTTTGTCGCACTTATTTGGAGCAAGAAGGTGTTAACTCTTTATAATTGTGCAAGAAGGGGTTAACTACTGATTCAAAAATGAAAAAAAAAAAAAAACATAAAAAATGATAAAAGTTGACTCGTAATATTAAATTTACATTTCTTGTCTGTGTTTTGACGAATCTTGATTTTAATTTTAGTTTAAACAGAAAAAGCTCCAACAATTTTACTTTAACCCTAAATATTTCAGAATTGTTAAAAAGTGATTTAACACCTTCATGCACTAATAGCTTCAATTATTATAGATCATTGGAAAGAGTATTAAATTCTTTATAAGCCCTGCAAAATTGGTTTTTGTAACTTGTGAAATTTTCCAAATTAGCCAGAAACCACTCTAACATCAGTAACATTTGAAAATTTTGATGAGAAAAAAAATCCAAAAAGGAAATCTAATTTTTGGTTCTGAACTTTTTCTAGAATCTTGACATGAATAATTGCTCACATCTCCAATGATAGGTATTTGAGAAAATTGCCTACAATTATGCATCATTAAAAAGAGTATTAAATTCTCTATAAGCCTTGCAAAATTGGTTTTTAGTGAAGTTTCCGGGATATTGAGCTTCAAAGTTCAAAACTTCAAACTCGATTTTCTTGAGAACTCTAAACGATAGTGAGTTCAGTAAAGTAGAGTACTATTACTACTACTACTTTTACTGTCTTTTACTACTCAAAGATAGTCAAAATTACTAGTTTTCAAAATAAGCTTACTTTTAAACACCATTATCTCGAAAACTAATCGTGAAATTTAGGAAAAAATAAAAATTTCCTTCTGATCGTTCACCTTTAAGGAGCAAACCATCTAGGAATATTTTGCCAAAACTATGGGTAATTTAGAGGAATTTGTAGAGAATTTGGAGGCATTGAATTTATGGGAAATTGAAGGAATGTATGATAAATTTGGAGAATTTATTATTATGCCTCCTAAAGTGGGACTTGTTTTTATTAGGATTGACTACAACAATCAGAAATTGATTGTATTTTTATATCTTAAATAAAAATTATTAATATTATTACAGAATCATTGTTGAAATATAGTATCTATTATTGTATGGGGTCGCATGTGAAGAAGTGCCTCACCTTCATTATTGTGTTCAAATTTATATACCTGGAGTGTTTTTTTTTTAAAAAATAAGCTCTACCCGAGACTCTACAAGAATGTTATGTAATATTCAAAGGAAGTTGTTATGTAATATTCAAAGGAGTCGAAAAGATTTGTGAGTCATGATTACTGGACAAGAATCCACAGCTACAATCTACCAGTTTTTTAGTGTTTTACAAGATCAATAACAAATTCCAAGAGGTGATAAACACCAAAATAAAAACACTTTACTGTAATAATATCCTTTCTTTTTGGCTTTATTTTCAGTGTCAAATACTTCTCAGGCTAATAATATAGAGATAGCAAAACATGTCTATCTATTATTGATATGCCAACATTTCTTAAACAAAATATTATTCGCAGGTCATAGCATCAATGACAGTAGGCAAAGACGTATCGGCCCTATTTCCTGACGTAGTAAACTGCATGCAAACTGACAATTTGGAACTCAAAAAATTGGTTTATCTTTACTTGATGAACTATGCCAAATCTCAACCTGATATGGCCATTATGGCGGTGAATACTTTTGTGAAGGTAACATTTTCAATTTTATTTGTTTTTTCTAAAATTCAAAAAATTGCTTATAGGATTGTGAAGACCCAAACCCCTTGATCCGTGCTTTAGCTGTGAGAACTATGGGCTGTATCAGAGTGGACAAAATTACTGAATATCTTTGTGAACCCTTAAGAAAATGCTTGAAGGACGAGGATCCTTATGTTAGAAAAACTGCTGCTGTTTGTGTCGCTAAATTATATGACATTTCTTCAGGTAACTTTTCTAATGAAATTTTGCATTCAAATTACTGCTGTGCTGTTTTTTTAGGTTTAGTTGAAGATCAAGGATTCCTGGAACAACTCAAAGAACTTCTAAGCGACTCAAACCCAATGGTGGTTGCCAATGCCGTGGCTGCTTTATCAGAAATTAACGAAAGCAGCCCCACAGGACAACCTTTAGTTGAATTGAGCACGTCAACGATTAATAAACTGCTAACAGCATTGAACGAGTGCACTGAATGGGGTCAAGTGTTCATCTTGGACTCGCTATCCAATTACACTCCGAGAGATGACAGGGAGGCTCAAAGTATTTGTGAAAGAATCACAGCAAGATTGGCTCATGCTAATGCTGCTGTTGTCCTATCAGCTGTTAAAGTTTTAATTAAAATGATGGAGATTTTACAAGGAGATGTTGAGTTTTGTAATACTTTGAGTAAAAAATTGGCACCACCTTTGGTTACTTTGCTTAGTTCTGAACCAGAGGTAAGTTTTTCTTGTTTTCTGGATATTTATTGTAATAATCATGACTAATTTGTAGGTTCAATATGTTGCTTTAAGAAACATCAATCTGATTGTGCAAAAGAAGCCTGATATTTTAAAACACGAAATGAAGGTAAATAAAATATTCATAAACATAATCTTATATAAAATATCATTTCTTGTAGGTATTCTTTGTGAAATACAATGATCCCATCTACGTAAAACTGGAAAAGCTTGATATAATGATTCGTCTAGCTTCTCAAGCTAATATCGCCCAAGTTTTGAGCGAGTTGAAGGAATATGCTACAGAAGTTGATGTTGATTTTGTAAGAAAAGCTGTGAGAGCCATTGGAAGGTGTGCCATTAAAGTGGAACCATCTGCAGAGCGTTGTGTATCAACTTTGTTAGATCTGATCCAGACCAAAGTTAATTATGTGGTGCAGGAGGCTATCGTTGTGATCAAGGATATCTTCAGGTAAGAATAATTATTCTTGTCTACTTCTAACTTTTTTATTTAAATATTATTTTCTGACACCTCCATAAAACAAACACCTACTACCAGTGGCGGCTCGTCAGAGGAGGCAGGGGAGGCTAAACCTCCCCCCAAAAAATTGAAAATTCAATCTCAATTTTTTTATTCCTGATTTATAATTAAAATAATAATTAACAAATTACACTTTTCAATTTTCGATATTTCAATGTAATTTAGAAAAATCTGACAACATTATTTCAATTAATCCCGCGCCTCCACGACAAATATCTGTGAATCTGGGATACTCAGTAATACCGGCCCGAAGGGCCGGAGTTATATGCGAGCCCGAAGGGCCGGAGTTATATGCGAGCCCGAAGGGCCGGAGTTATACGCGAATCCGGCCCGAAGGGCCGGAGTTATATGCGAATCCGGCCCGAAGGGCCGGAGTTATATGCGAATCCGGCCCGAAGGGCCGGAGTTATATGCGAATCCGGCCCGAAGGGCCGGAGTTATATGCGAATCCGGCCCGAAGGGCCGGAGTTATACACGAGCCCGAAGGGCCGGAGTTATACACGAGCCCGAAGGGCCGGAGTTATACACGAGCCCGAAGGGCCGGAGTTATACGCGAGTCCGAAGGGCCAGAGTTATTTTAATCACGGGACTCAGTCTATAATTCTATTGGTCAGTGAATAATTTAGAACCAATCAAAAACCGAGAATATTTAAAATGCGATTTTTAGCGTTCGATCAAAAAGTCGGAAATATTCAAAAACTTTAGTTTTATCAAATTGGCTTTGGAATGTTGGTTTTCTTAAGATTTTTACTTTTTTCAGAAAACGGTGGTTTTTGCAAACATATACTACTTTATCATTGTCTTTGTCTTACTCACTATAATCAATAAGGAAACCTTGTAATGTCATTTTCATTAAAATTAAACTAAAAACAAGTTTTCTATGATTTATTTGGAGTATTTTAATTATTAAAATCATTATTAATTAATTATTAAATTAAATTTTAAACAAAAAACCCTTTTAAAATGTTATTTTTGTTTTCCGAAATGAGATGTGGCAACGTTGCTTTTAGTTGGCCATTTTGAAGTGACGCTTTGTAATTTTTTAACAGTTTTTCCTCGATTTTTTCACTTTTCCGGGGCTTTTCAATGGAAAAAGGCAATTTCACATACGAGGCTTTGAGTTTTCTTCATTTTCTAGCAAAAATGTAGAGTTTTAAAATGACATAAATAACAAAATCCCATTTAAAATGTTTTTTTTTTTTGGAAGTTTCGATGTGGCAACACCGTTTGTACCAACTTCAAATAGGTTTTTTAATAAATGTCATTTGCCAGTTTTGACAGTCGACAATTTTTAATTCACGTGTTCACATTTCTATCCAGTTTTTCCTCGAATTTTCCGCTTTTCCAAGCCGTTTTCAGTCAAGAAAACCGATTTTAAATACGAGGCTTTGAATTTCCTACATTTTGTGCTAAAAATTCCCAGTTTTCCAATGGGGTAAGTGACAAAAACTCAAATTTCATTAAGTATGCTTTGGAATGTCATTTTTAGAGGTTTTTCTTTGAATTTGTCCGCTTTTCCAGGGCTTTTCTGGTCGGAAAAACTGATTTAAAGTACGAGGCTTTGAGCTTTCTTCATTTTCCACCAAAAATTTCCAGTGTTTTAACGGAGTAAGTGAGAAAAACTTTAGTTTTATCAAGTAGGTTTTGGAATGTCATTTTCGTTGGCTTTTTTTTTTGGAATTTATATTTAAAGTTTTTGGGGTCCGGGGATCGTTTTCTATAACTTTTTTTCTCGAAATTCGCAAAATAAAAAAAAAAACTTTTTTGACGTTGACAGCTGTCAATTTTTTTTTGATACAAATCGATAGTTAGCGTCGCAAAACTGCCTTGTACCGGGGTTTGATTTTCGTAGCTTTTATAGTAGAGCGGAGAAAAAGTCGAACATGTGTCAAATTTGACAGATGACATTTGTCGATATTGCCAAAGTGTCGTGCGACAAAAGTTTTATCCGAACGAACCCGTTCATTGTTAACTGATTTTTCATACTCCGGCCCTTTGGGCCGTAATCTTTGAAACAAAAAGACGTCATTTTGTATCGATTGTCAAAAAACTTAAGGTTTGAAATTTCAATTTTTTGACGTTTGTTGTATCATGAGCAGTGTTGCCATATGTTTTTCTTTCGAATCTCGAGCTCGAAGGGCCGAAATTATAGATTATTTTAAAGCCAATCAAGAGCCGGGAATAAACAAAATTCGAATTCCCAAACCAATCAGGAGCCAGGAAAATTCAAAAATTCCAATTCCAAACCCGAAGGGAAATTGAATTTTTTGTACCAACTGTTGCTACATAAATTTCACCTTAAAACCCACTAAAAAATGACCTTTGTTTTTTGGAAAAAACAAAAGATTTTTTTTTTTGAGATTGACAGCTGTCAAAATTTCAATGGGCATATAGATTTAGTCTCGGCAAATACGTAGGAAGTACTAATTTTTTTTTTTAACATATGTCAAAAAAGACGTTCGGCGTTGCCAGGTGGTTGGTTTTTGACATATGTATATCGATGAAACTTCTTATTTTAGGGTTTTCGGAGCCTGGGGATCGTTTTCTGACATTTGTGTTTTGAAATAAAGAAAAGGTAAACATTTTTGACATTGACAGTCAAAATTAAAAAAAAAAAAAAACCTACATGGGCATATAGATTTAGTCTCGGCGAATACGTAAAAAGTAGCCAAACGGGGCCAATTTTTTGACGTTTGTTGTATTATAAGCAGTGTTGCCATATGTTTTTTTTTTTTCGAATTTCGATTCTGGAAGGCTGAAGTTATCTCAATTATGAGTTCAAAGGGCCGAGGTTATACGAGTCCGAAGGGCCGGAATCATGCGAGCCCGAAGGGCCGGAGTTATTTTAATCATGAGCCCGAAGGGCCGGAATTATACTGATTTTAATACTTCGGCTTTTCGGATCGTCATCTTTGAAACAAAAAGACGCCATTTTATATTGATTGTCAAAAAAAATCAAGGCCTACTTTGATATTTCAATTTTTTGACGTTTGTTGTATAATGAGCAGCGTTGTCATATGTTTTTATCAAATCTCGATTTATAGGTTATTTTAAACCCAATCATTGAGATTTCTGAAAAATATTTCCTTTAAAATTCCCAAATATCCTTTGGAATCCCCAAAAATCTATTAAAATCGCAGAATTCCATAATTTAGTGGAATTTCGGTAGAATAATTATGTTATTCTGAAAAAGGAATTAGATGTGAAATTTCCATAGAATTCACATTAAATTTTAATTCCTCTCGAATTACTTGAAATTTCAGTGAAATTCCGATCGAATTACACGAAATCCTAAATGAATTACATGGAGGAATTTTAAACAATTACATGAAATTACACCGAAATTCCCAACATGAAATTTCAGTTTTTACTGATTTTTAGTAATGCCGAGGAATTTCCAACTAAAAACATGGAATTTCGATGATATTCCGAAAAATTCCACGTAATAACATGAAATTTCAATATATTTCGATGAATTTTTAAGAAATTACTTGAAACCCCATTAATATTCCCAGAAATTCCTGGCTATTAAAAGAGAATTTCAGTGAAATTCTTATGAAAATAAATTAAATTTTGAAAATTCCTTGAAGTTTCATTGGACTTTCGAGAAATTTTCGGTTATGAACGTGGATATTCTCATAAAATTTAAGTGAATTCCGAGAAATTTTTAAGAAATTACATGAAATTCCAAAGAATTTTAAGAAAATTTTGTGGAATTCCAGAATATTTCAGTGGTAAAATTTTGAGGAATTTTAGTGAAGTTAAAAAAAAAAATATGGAATTTTGAAATTGAAATCTTAATGGAATTCCTTTATGAAATCCTATACTGTAATTAGCCTCCTCAATTTAAATAGTCACGAGCCGCCACTGCCTACTACGATTTTCTTAATCTTAACACCTCTGAATAATGGATTCTCTGTTTACCTAACGCGGACAGTTTGTTGTTTCCAAAATAGAAAATTGAATGTAAATTCACCAATTAATTTTGTAGACGATTCCTGGTCATTGTAATCAAAATGTATTGATATTTACTAGAGGTTGTACCAATAAAATAAAATCAATTTTTGCTCTTATTTTAAAGATAAGTTTTTTCATCTCTCCTATTTTAATTTCTCCGGGAAATTTGAAAAAAAAATATCAGAAAATAAAATCATCTTTTTGGCTTTGGTAAATTTAACATTTAATGAAGAAACTGTCGTTTATTTCCGAGTTTATTTCCAATAAGTAAAGTATAGGTGCATGATGCTTTTCTAATATGTGTATACATAAGGTACTAGTCATATGTATTATAAAAATATGTTTGTTAATCATACTTGGCGATTTTAATATCGATTTTAAAGTAAATTCTATTTATAGCAGGCAAATAGGGAGTATTTTGGATTTTTTAGGCTTAAATCAGTTAGTTCAAGATTATACAAGAGTAACATTAAACAGTGCAACTTTAATTGACTACTTGATAACAAATGAAAACTCACTACAGCATTTAGTTTCTGATAGGCCGAAAGTATCGGACCATTCAAATATTTTAGTATCCCTGGACATAAATAAACCCAAAAATAATGCCAAAGAAGTAATTATAAGAAGAAACACTTTGAATTGGTCATCAGGTAGTCAAGATATAAATATTTTAGCAGGTACTTTCACAAGAAATATTGTGGATGCGCTTAATGTTCACGCTCCATTTAAGGAAATTAATAATTTTAAGCTAAGAGTTTGGTTCAGCTCATAGAGATCAGTTATTTAGGTTAGCAAAGGAATCGGGAACTGAGGAACATTGGAACAACTACAAGATTGTGAGAAATGAAGTAACAACCAAATTGAGACATGAAACACGAAAATACTATGAGGAAAAAATTGATGATAATAAATATGACAGTAAAAATATGTGGAAAGCAATAAAGGAGTTAGTTTCAGATAAAAAAGTTGAAAAA